AGGTAACTTCCAGTCCACACATGCCAAGGTCCCTCTATACCACTGGGGGTTTACTCATGAGGCAAGAGTGGCAGAAGCATGGATGATAATGAAAGCCTGCAGGCCCCTGCTCAGAGCTCAGAAGGGCCCCTCTCTTTCTAATTAATCTAGAACAAGGCAATGAAGTAGTCCCTTTGGTAATACGGAATGGATATACAAGAAACAAAACCATAAGAGCTGCAACAACAGCTAATACTTATCAGTTGCAAAACAGGAAGTACACACGATCTTAATACAAAACTGTATGCAGTGGGTGACACTGTTCATGGCAACAAGCACAGAGAGGCTCGGTCCTTTCTCACTTGCCTGAGGGGACCCAGCTCCTCCAATGCTCAAGAGTAAAACTGGGAAGATGTGACCAGCCACCCATGCTGCCTACCCTCAGAGACGGCCCATTTCTAATTTCCTCCAAATTTCTTTTCACCTTCTAGGCGTTTGCACGACTTCCCTGAGTATTGGTCCCCAGTGAGGCCAGAAGTGGTGCCACAGCCCACACATACAGTCCTCATAGTGGTCCAGAGAAGCACAAAGATGAGTGTCCCCTCCTCAGCATGACAGATGAGAAATCAGAAGTTGGTATGGCCTTAGTTGTGTCCCATCGCCAAATCCACGAATCCTAAAACCCATCAGTGCAATGCAGAGTTTTCTGAGAAGAAATTCAGTTGAAATGAGCTCACAAGGACGGGTTCTACTCCAATGTGACTGGTGTCCCCCTAGGTGGAGATGTGGACATGGAGTCAGACACAGAAAGCCACACGGGGGAGACCGCCATGTACACACCAAGGAAAGGCCCTGAACAGATGCTCCCTCACCACCTCAAAAGGAAGCAATGCTGCCGACACCTTAACCTCAGGCTCTGTATAGCTTGTCTTTTACACTTATTGGACAGCTGAGGTCTCAAAGAAGTTTAGAGGAGCCAAATTTCACAGAGGAACCAAGAACTGTACAAGACCAGCATCCATGCTCACCGCTGGGCACAAATGAAAGGAGGAACTAATCACCCATTCATGGTTGAGGGCTACAGGATGCATTAGACCTAGAGTGTACATATCATAAGCCTGTCCCACCTGACTCACCAATGTGTGGCGACCTGCAGGACGTCAGGACGAGGATGAAAGGCAGAGTGACCTTCCAGTCACATGGGCACTGGGACCTGTGCTCTTCAGAAGGCAGGGACTGGATCTTGCCTCATGACATCTGAAAGCAGTGAGCTGCAATCTGACCCAACCCTCCCCAAATCCCCACTGAACTGAAGAGTTTAGCACCCCAAGAGGCAGGAGCAGAGGACTCAGCTGGCATGCAGAGAAAGCATTGGAAGAGAAGCTGAGCTTGATAGAACCTTTCCTGAAGTCCACATCACACTTTCTTCTTCCCATGTCAATGACATCCCTAATGTTTCACCAGTTTGATTTGTCATTTCCAACCTGATGAATCTTAGCTGATATAAAGCCCAGTCCTCACCAATTATGTATTTCCAAGTAGGAATACGTGATTACACATACAAATTCTGGCATAAATCAGCAATACCCAGTTTTTGAAGAATCATGGTATCTTCCGATTACTTGCTGAAATGAACTTGATCATGCTTACAAATGAACCACACAATACCACAAAACAACAATTCTTAAAACCTATCACAACAGAACTTAAACTATAAAGTAGACGTCAATATTTCACAGGCACCACTGTTTTGAACATATCTATGCTGCACAGATCTCACTGCCACACCAAATGTCTTAGGTTCCCATTTTGAAGATGCCTATGGCAAATTGCTCTTGTTTCACCCTCTATTCTCATTAGCCACACAGGACATCACCACAGGAGAAGAGACCGCCATTCAAACTGGTACCCAAAGCCACGAAAACAGTAGCAGAACATTCTAAATTGAATCTAAATGAAGAAGATTAAAAAAAAAAAAAAGCATAGAAGACAGACAAAAAGTTCTGCTGTCAAAATAACCACTTAAAACTCAAGGAACATTTTAGCATTTCCAAAGTACCAATTCCAAAGTACTGAGAATAGCCCCCCCCCCAAAAAAAAAGCTTTCAAAAACTCATGTTCTCACCCCCCACCAAAAAAAAAAGTTTACATATTTTCATGACAAATTCCAACCTGGAGTTTTATGAATCAGTTTATAAGGTCCTAAAAATAAGGAGCTAAAAGGAAATCATATTAGCCGGTTCCCTTACCAGAAGTCTTCCTTCCAAAGTCGTCTAGAAATGCAAGGCCAGTGGTATCCAAGGAAAGAAGCAGTTCCTTGCAGGTGGCCTTCACTCTATCAGTCCTCCCAGCCCTGCCCAGGCACGCGAGGAGCAGAAAGAGTTGTCAGATTCCTCCTTGGCTACATGAGCCAGGGAGGCTACTCTGAGGCTATCTGTCCCCGGTCAGGGTAATACAAGGTCAACAGCGGACACACTGAAACATACAGCCAGCAAGATCATGTTCCCATGGGAAACTGGACTACTCCAATTAAGCTTTCTAGGAAACATCAAGAATGAATGTTGCTAGTGTCCCAGAAATTCAATTTCCCTGGTTTCTGAACTAATAAAATTTGAAAGCTAATCCAAACTAGATAGGACCTGGGTGTTTATTTAGATAAGCCCAGGAAAAGGTCCAGTATCTTTCTCAACAGAGCTACAGAGTTTACTGCATATTTCATGCAAAACAAAAAAGGACCAAAAGAAAAATATATACCTCTCTTGTGTGACTGTGTTCCTACACAGTATGCAGGCTAAGCTTTGTACACCTGTAATTATACACAGCACACCAGCACCTCACAGCAAGTCAATGTGAGCTTTGGAGGCAGAAAAGGAGAAATTTTGAGGCAACGTGAGAGATTTCTCTATGGCCCTGCATGGCTGCCCTGTTTTCAACTTGGTTTCTGTCACGTTCATCCCACCCTGATGTTGTTTTAGTTCCCTCATTGAAGGCTAGGCAGTCTATCAAAAAAGTGCCTCAAAACTAATCTAAGGCACACAAATGCAAACACAAGCGCCATATTTCATTTTGTCAGCGATTCCTGCTGTCCCCCCGCAACCAGGATGGAAACAGGTCAGCATACAAAGATTCCATGATATCATCCCCAAGCATGCATGGTTTCTGGTCGCCAACCCGCAGCTGATGAGCGCCAGCTCACAAAGGAGCGAGAACAAAACACACGAGCCCGTGGCTCACCGCCACGTGGCCCCGTTTGTGGTTCTCACCTGAGAAAACTGTGCCCCACAGCCCACAGGTGCCGCTGCCCATGTTCAATGTCTAACTACAGAGGTTTCCAACGCCAGCCAAACTACACAACCAGCCAGACACCTACGGTACCAGATGCCAGTTTGTGCCCCAGACCCATAAAAGGGGTCGGTGCATGGGAGAGGGGCCTGGGCACAAGGAGCTGTTAAAGGATCCCCAGACCTAAGAACCACTGCCTTCCCAGGATCTCGGTACCTCCCAAGCAACGTGGTCAGGTCGGTTGCCGAAAACAGAGAAGTGGCTAGCAGTCATTTGTTGTAAAACAAATTTTTGAAAAAATATGATGCCCAGACTGACCTAGATAAGGTGAACGGCCAGTGTTTAAAATAACACTGACAGCAAGCCAACATTCATAACAAACCCTCAGACTTGCCCCAACTCCAGCTTCCTGCTAAAGAGTAGTTTTTAGTTACTAGCAAGTTTATGCCACAGGCTGTGTTTTTAACCGCTGGTAATTTTAAGCCACTCTGTTTGCAAGGATACACAAAGGAACAGAGAAAAACTGTAAAGGCTGCTTGAATTCTCCTTTTACAACTCAAAGCTCCCCTGTGGCTTTGACTCATCACCACCCAATACCCCCTGCCACAGGAGATCAGGAAGGGCAGAGTGGGCTACAAGACATGCTTACCAATTTCAGAGTTTTTCTGAAGTGGAGTCTTATCAATGTATTTCCAAAGCCAATGAATACTAAGCCAAGACTCTGCATTTTCATACAAAGACAACTCTCAACTACAAAAGCCTAACTTCGAGGGTCAGCTGTGGCATCCCTTGATCTCCAGGCATAAACTGTAGATGATCAGTTGAAGGGGACAGCTGCAGGCAGACTGCTGCTGACACCGCACCATGAAATGTTCTTAGACAACTCACAGGCTGCCCCAATGCAGGTGCAAATCTAAGAGCCCAAGGTTCCCGCCCAAAGCTCCATATCAGAATCACCTGACACCCGGGTCACACCCCAGACCTCAGGCTTACCAGGGACAGCCAAGCCAGTGGCATTTTCTAAAGCAGTGGCCCTCACACCATCACACGCATCAGAATCTGCACGCTGTAGGTGTCCGGCAAGGGGAGAAAATGTCCTCCTCACTCGTTCCCAGGGGCCACACTTGGAGACCCACTGCTTCATCAGTCCGCCAGGCAACTCTGATTCACGCAGCCAGGGCTGAGGACCACTGTACTAGAGGAGCCAGTGAGCTCTGGCCAGGTATCAGGAGGGAATCCTCACTCCAGCTCTGCTACCAACCCAGGCCCGGGACCTGGCAACAAATCAGCTGAGATTTTTCAGGCCTCACTTTGCTCCTGAAATAGGAAACTGAAGCACTGCGTGAACCAGATCCCGGGACCCTTGTAGAAATAAAATGACAACTTTGTCAATGGCGCTTCGCATGAAGTGCATTTAGAAAAGGAAGTGGCACAAGGAGCAGTGTATCACCTTTAAAATACAGCCACATCCAAGTAACTACATCTCAGCCCACAATGGACCGCACATGCAACAGTGGTTCTACAGACTGTATCACTCTGTCACCTAGGGACAGTGTATTGCACGATGTTCACACAAGGACAAAATCACCCAAGGAAACTTTTCTCCCTTGCAGAAAGCGACACCTGACTGTACAGGGAAGGCGCATCCTTGTGCATACGCTTTCAGTGCACCTGGGGCCACACCAAGGCGCCAGCTGTGCGTCGTGTGCCCCACCCAGCACCCCGAGGCCCGGACTCACCTGTCAGCACCTCGCAGAGCTGCCCAGGGACCTGGGTCTCGGCAGACTGGCTGGGTTTCAGAGACCATTTGCGCCTGATCAGATGCTCTCGTCCACTAAACGGACCTCCGGAGTTATTGAGGGGCTGGATCTGCACCTGCTCCTGCCCGAGCTGGATGAGGCCCACCTGCCCAGAAGGGAGAGGCAAATGGGACATCGGTAAGCTAAATCAGACAGGGCGCCTCTACCTTTTCAAGTGCTGCACAGGTACCAAGCATCCTGCAGGCAAATCAGGTCACCTCCCAAGATCACCCTCAACCTCTAGTCCCCAAGATACAGGGTGAGGCCACACTTTAGTGCCCAAGCAGACTGCAAGGTTTCTGCGGCACTAGAACTCCCACCAAGGACAACTCAGATTTCACTGCCCAAACAGAACTGTCTCAGAGTTGTCGCAAGCCGCGACGTCAGGATCCTGCCAGCAGGTCCTAAACCTGAAAGGATGAGGACAGAGAGACGGGAGGCACCTTTCTTCTCAAGTTCCTTGCTTGCTTTATTACAGAACCTCTTCCTTTTATACTCTCCAGCTGCATGGGAGCGAGGGCTGCACAGGAGCCAGGGAGCGAGGGTACCGCCCACACATTCCAGAGGGAAACAACCATTATGGGTTACATCTGCTACCAGCTGAACTCGCCCGTGGCTATGGGCGAGAGCACGTCCATGCCAGCCAGGTGACTCAAAGTTCAATCATGGCTAGGCCTGTGTCAAGGCTCACCATAATGGCTCGCCATACAGAGTGGCACTACACGACCTGCAGGAGAGTCCAGCTTCCTTCCCTCTCCTTTGAAGTGAAAACTTGAGTTCATTCGCTGATACTTTGGAGAGATTACAGAGGTGGAGGCAGAGAAGGGTGGAGGTGCAGAGCTATCACCACGGCTGTGTATAAAGAAACCAAAGTGCCAAACATTCAACAACCATCAGCAGAAACTTCCACGGTTCAAATAAGGTGGGCAGGTTATGGCACGAAGCCTGGCAAGGGGCCCTGAAATCTGCAAGATAAACTTGACTCTAAGGAGGGACTGGACTCCTCTGGAAATGCCCTGACTGTGGGAGGACAAAGCCAGTCCCTTCCCAAGGCTGTTACCCATTCAGCCTGGTTTTGCATTCACAAGACTCTGTGCAAAAATCGGTCAGTGCTAATGGTATGTGAGTTGTTGAGACAAGGAGTGTTCAGCTTGGCGAGAAATCCCACACATACATACACGGAAGCACAACCAAGCTCCTCGGGGGAGATTTTTCTTTAGAATGGCTTTTCTGGTTGGCCCCACATACAGGTTTCCATCCATTCGGCAAGAGAACAGCGATGCCATCTGTCACCTCTCAGCAGTCCCGAGTGTGGTCCAGGCCCGCAGCTGCATGCCCTGGGAGCCGGTCAGCAATGCTACGGGCAGCGGTCTGAGGGCGGGGCCCAGCAATCTATCACCCGCCCTGCAGGTGACCCGGATTTCCACTCATGGCAGAGACCTGTGCTCCAAGATAAATTCCGAGCCCACCATCTACCCAGCACACCTGTCCATCCAGTCCTCTCCCACCAGCTCCTAAAAACCACCCCACAGCTGGTTCATGCACCCCTATCTCGAGACAGCTGCCACTGCTCCCTGGTGGGACCTCAGGCTACCCCTCTGAGCTCCAACCTTCCTGCTCCCCAAAGCTCTGCCCCCCCTGCACCCAGGGATCCAGCCTTCCTCCAGAGCTGCCTCTGGTTCTTCTGCACCACCCCAAAGGCTCCAAGGCACCTTCCTTCCCTGCGCCTCCACCCATCTTCCCAGACAGGGCCTGCACTGAGCTCCTCCGAGCCCGGCTGGGACCAGCACAAGGTCTGCACAAGGCAGGTGCGTGATAAGGATCTGTTCACCCTCCACAGCCCTGAGCAACTGGTTGATTTATAACTGGAAACGTCTGGGACTGTCCTGTAGGGCAAGAGAAGAAAGCCGTTTTCAATGCCTTAGTGTGCCCTGCCCTCCCTAAATGACTCCACACACTTTGTTACTGTCAACAGCCCTGGGGCAGATGGCTTTCACCCCTCCTGTGGCTGTAGAAGGTTCGAGAGTGCTAAGTGACTCCCTCATGGTCACAGCCCTACATGGCCCTGCAGTTTCATTTCCTACGGAAGAACATGACTGCAAGCCTGTGTGGGCACGGAAGATTAACCAGGGACCGCTGGCTCCCTCAGACACCCAGCTGCAAAGGTATCTTCTGTCCCTCAGATCAGGGCCAGGCAGCTCTGGCATTCCGACTTTTAGGAAATGCACCTTGTGAATGCAATCAACCTAGATGACTTCTTCAGCTCATCACCTGATCTTTTTCTGTTTTTATTTTAAATGATGCCAGTTCAGTAGACGTTCATGTCTAGAATCCCAGTGTTCTGGAACGCTGAGGCAGGAGGTCAGCAAGCTTGGGCCTAATCTGGGCAATTTAGCAAGACTGGGTCAAAATTAAAAATAAAAAAGAACCGGGGGTGTAGCTCAGTGCAAAGGCCCTGCGTTCAATCCTTAAAATCTGAAACGACATTTTTAATTTAAAAAATCAAAGTGCGGCCATCTAATTGCCCTGGCCCAAGTTCATGGCTGTGCTGCAGAAAGGAGCCAAAGCCTGGTGCCCTAAGAGTGGGACGCAGGTCCACAGGCAGATAAAGCCCCTCAGCAGTGACATCAGGAGGGGCAGAACAGCATAAAGGTCAAGAGGATGGAGAGAAGCCAGCTGAGGCCACATGAATGTCCTCCCAGAGGAAGAGACCGGAGACCCTGGAGCGTTCTGACTGGAGTTCTCTGCAATTCTTCCACGCCCCAAACTTCATTTGCCCCTCTCCTTCCATTCCACTCTCAACGCCCCTTAACCCTCCGTGCCCCTGAGCCGTGTTGGGGATGCCGTAACAATGCCACCTAACGTTTTCTCTTCAAATTCTCATTCCTTGACTCTTCCTAGGCAACATGTGAATCACGCAAGAGAGAAACATTTCCATCCTCTGCCTGCACAGGCTACCATCCACTCAGCTGTCTCCTCCGGCAAAGTCCTAAATATGTGCTTGGTGTCTTCCAAACCTACTTAGGTGGCACATGATCCATCCTTGAGCCATCTGCATTAATCATGGCACAGGACAAGGTGCCTCCCCGAGACTGTAACGGGACAGAGCTGTACCGAGATGCAGTTTGGCCTATTTGCTCTTCTGAGCAGTCTCCATACCACGTTTTCACCAAGATCAGCTCCTGCTCGGCTGTACTCCACGGAGTGATGCTGCCTTACTAAGCTGGGCAATGTTATGACCAAACAACCAGAGTACAGTCAGGCTCTTTTCTAAAAAGGGAGGCAGCAATGTCCCAGCCCTGCCCCTTCACCACAGGGGAGGTGACTGCAGGCTCCTGAGGACAGCATCCCTGACTCCCCCAGCCCTACACACTGCTTCTGCTGTAAAGCAGAGGCACGAGTTCTCTAAGTTCCTGAGTGGACTGGGAGAGTGGGCAGAACGCGGATGCACCACCAATGTGCCACAAAAATGGCCCTGTGCTCTCCAGTCAGCAAGGGTGTCTAGACCAGAGACACAGAGAGCCTTGCAGCACGTGGTTGCCCATCTCCCAACCCTCCATGGGTGGCTTTGGTGTTGTCTGTCCCAAGATGTCACTCACGCTTCTGGCCAAGAAGGGATGGACAGGCTCTGGTGGACTCGCAGAGCTCCAGAGTTTCCACAGAAGGAACAATGGCCCCTGTGCAGCAGGCCACAGGCCACATCCCACACCAGGACCTCCGCCATAGCCTTCGCCCAAAGCAAGTCCTCCATCCACTCCTTTCAGACAAGCCTGGCAGAGCCTTCTCAGGGGCCTGTGCTCATGCTGCCCCTCGAAGTGCCACATCTCCACTGCCCTCTCTAGCTGTGCAGCTGAACTTGGCGTTTCTGCTGGCCTTCCATGCTTGCATGCCAATCGGAGTGGGGCAGGTGATCCAAATGTAGACACATTCGTTAGAAGCACAGATACCTTCCTCGCATGCCTCAAGTTTACTGCTTCGATATTGCACGGTCACAGTTATAGGAACTCTTCCAAAATCCACCCTATGTCTAAAGACTCCCTGAAATGTAAATACAACAAAGAAACATAAACAGAACACAGTCCTTGAGCCCAGGGTCTTTTAAAGTCCAAAAAGTGCAGATGGCACAGTTCTTCAAGATAAGACAGGGGGCAGGCGGGTTGCCACAGCCCCTCTGCCCTCCAAGGGAGGAGCATAAACCAGCATCTGTGACTTATCCTCCAGGTCCCACAAACAAGCAATGATTACATTCATGGTGCATTTCCATTCCACAGACGGTCAAAATCTCTGGGCCCAAAGAGCACAGACTGCATGCATTGGGGAGCAGAACCTGTGTTCTCCCTTGCCCTGGGCTCAACACCTGCCACATGGAGACATTAGGTATGGCCAGCGTAACATCAATTAACAACACTCAGCATCCGGGACACAGCTTCATCCAGCGCAGCCACATCCGTTTCTTTATGTCGCTGCTTTTACACTGAAAGGGCAGTGCTGACCAGTTGTGACAGGGACTACATGGCCTGCAAAACCTAAAATATTTACTCTCTGGTCCTGTTCAGAAAGCCTGCCAGCTCCTGCTCTAGACGACACGTTACGTAGAGGCTTTGAAACCCCCCCTCACAGCCCCCTCCCCACGCCTTGTAGGGAGCCTGTGCAGCCCACTCGGTATCTCCACTTCACGGGCTGGTGCTGCGGTCCAGGGGGACTCACCCAACGTCAGCGCCCACCGCACCAGAACCAAGGCCAGGCATGGAGTGCAGAGCACACTCAGCCCAAGCCCCGAGGCTGGCTCTCCTTTGCTCGCCAGGGTCTCGCTGCCACCGAGCGGCCACTCCAAATCACCCCCCTATTCCTCCCCTCCTGCCCGCAGCCCTTTCTCTGTCCACGTGTACTCGGGGAGAAGGGTCCAATGTCCAGCTCACGGCAATGGGATGAACAAGGCAGACTAAACAACAGAAGTGTCTGCTCAAGCTGGAATCGAAAAGCTAAGTCTTCGAGGTACGCCCGCCGCCGCAACACGGTGAAGTCAGCCTCTTGGCCGGGTTCCTTTATCTACAGCACAGCGCCCCCACATGGTGCCAAAGGGAAGGACGGCCTCCCTGAAAAGCTGGCTCAGATGCCATCTGTGAGGAGACTCAGCGCTCACTCCGCAAGGACTTTAAATCAATGCTATCCAGATTTCCAGCCTCAGCTCCTTCACAGATAGCTCCTCGCTGGAAACTTTACACCAAGAAGTATAAACTCTGACCTCTACAGAAACTCACTAAACCGCAGCAAATGGGATTCAGATGTTTCCACGTACAGTACAGCGATGTGACCTAGACTTGAAACACTTTGGCAAAAATAGGAAAAATGATGTGGGCCTTTGAGCCCCTCCCAGAACATGATACAGGCTTGACCTGAGCCCTACAGTGATCAGAGCCTTTCTCACCCCACTTAAGCACCCCCGCCCACACCCCTTCTCTGTCCCGTCCATGTTAATGCACCCCCACAGGCGACCATTTTCCTTGTTTCACCAAAGCTGCCAATTTCCTCCAGTCAAGCAAAAGCAGATCACACCCTAAATTCAGAACTCTAAAAAGCCCTGAAAGGAGAATTAGGCTGATCCCAGGAAATTGTACCCAGGGCCCCTCCACCTCACCCCCATAGTGCTGAGGAGAAAGCAGAAGTCTCACATAAAAACCTGGACCCCAGACTTCCTGTCTTTGCTGAAATTCCCAGTAACTTGTGGGTAGGGACAGAAAACTCTAGAAGGTAGTGCAAGATAAAAGGAGGGGGAGGAGCTATGTCTTGTGCCTGGGAAGGACAGACACGAAATAATATCAAACACTGTCTCCGTAGAGTTGATCGTGACAAAAGACATGGAAACAACCCGTGCATTTCATGCTCTCAGTCGACACCAGGCTTTGCAGGGGCAGCCCATCTGCCAGCCATGTGCGCTCCTTGGGGGCACCATGCACAAGCTAAGAAGTGTTTGGCTGGGCACCAGGGCAGCCAAGTGATCAAGTGTAAGCCCAGGCAGGACAAATATACTCAGAGTACTTGTCAAGGTCAGGGTAAAGTAAGGGGAACGGGGAACTCTAGGGGCAGGGCCAAGGGATGCACCCAGCCGTGGGGCGGGGGGCGTAGCAAAAAGAAACAAAACAAGGATGCCACAACCTTCCCCTTCTAGTCTTACCTTTCCTTTTACAGTGGGGTTACCCAGGGGCCTGGGGTCCCTGCCAAGGTTGCTTTTCCAGGTATCGAGACTCAAAAAGTCAGAAGGGAAGTGAATCGCCTCAATCCCGGAGTACCCGGGGCACACGGTGCCCGTGACAGGCGTGCCCATACACCTGGGCAAAGGCGCCTCCCGGCCGGGGGTCCTGACAGCTTCCTGCGCGCTTCGGGGACTAGGCTGCAGCTCTAGCTCCAGAGCAACCCGGCTTCCCCCAGCCTCCGCGCCCCCAGAGCTCAGGCCCCTGCAGGGAGGCTCTCGTCCCACCCCCTTAGCTGGGGGAGTTTAAGAAGGTCGGAATGGAGACAGGGGGTGAGAGAGGGGAAGAAAAGGACCCTGGAGGCTGGATTTCCCGAGCCCGGGCGCCCACCCCATCCCTCCGCGGGGACCACTACGGGCGTCGCAACCAACTGGAGGGCAAATATAGGAGACTCAGAGGGGCGCGCGCAGTACCAGGCCGCCGGCGGCTCCACAGGCGCTGAGCGAGACCAGAGAGCCGGGGTGACCCAGCACGCGGCCCGAGTAGAAGCAGAGCTCGG